GTCAATAACTGTTGGAGTGAAGATGGCGGAGAGGAGTGCTTGTCTCTTTTGGCACTTGAGATATTTCTTTTGGCGCGCGTAATCCATGTCAAACGCGCGTAGCTTAAATACTCATCAAGTTTTTAATGATTTCCCAATTTTCTGCGCCATTTTCTTGATTTTGCTTTCCATAAGAACCTTCTATACAGCATTAAGAAACTTAAAAAAAAAGATGAATGAAATCGGTAAAACCGTTCTCAGGTTATGGCGTGACCACGCGAAATAGAGATTTATTTTTATATACAGGATGTTAGGGAAATAATATTCGTAACATTACTCTAAGCAAAACAGTTCATTATAACTTGTCCGAAAATCGTTTTCGAGGAAAGTGAGTCGGAAATAATTAAATTTTCTCAAACATTTGGCAACGCTGCAATGCAACCGCGATACAAGCGCAGGACGACCGCAACTGATTCATCGAATTGTTCACGTTTGTATGATATTTTTGTTGAAAATATTCCTTGAATTATTAAATACTTTTACGCAATTTTTTGTGGCTAATATTTTTCATTTAATAACGCCTTCAGTAGGTACAGTACATTTACTCAAAAAAATGACAGAACTTACCGGTACGTGGCGATACACACCCACGATTATCAGTTACTTATTTGAAACGATGCGATGCACAAAAAAGAGAAAAAACCAACATCCGTAAATCACATAAAGTTACGGTTAAATGTATTAGTAATCACAATAACACGCCATGATACATGCAGTGCAGGTGAAGTACGACGTTGCCAGTTATGGGAGGGATATTGTTTGTCTGTTTTTCTTCGGAAAATTTTATTTAATAAGCAAAAAAAATATTTTGTTAGAGGCAGTTAATTAATAAATAGATGTAATGATACATTTATACGAATATTATTTCCCTAGCACCTTGTATATAGATGTTAGTATTAGAGACGGCCGATATCGTTAATTTTGAGCATCTGTGATATGTGGTATCGTTACTTTTTAATATCAGTGAAATCGCATAGAGCCAACTACCAAAGCCCATAAGGCACAATATCGCTTGCGGGCCATACCCATAGCTTTACGTTAACGCCGTGATCCCATGATGCCATTCACCGTTAGCTATTTACCGAAGTTTTCACGGTATTTGGTAACATGCGTGACTTAGAAATAGCAGTTACTAAATCACAGTTCGTGAAATCTGCTACCGCTACTTAGTGTGTTATGGTAGTGGACAAAGGCCATAAAACGTTTCGGACGCAAAACATTAAAGATCATCCCTCTTTCATTCCTTCAGCGAGTCTTTTCTTTTCAGAGGCAAACGGCAACAAATCAAAGGTCCCACCCAAGTAAGAGGCAGGCGGACTTTTTTCATGTGCGATTAGCATAATCTTTTGTATAAACTGTCAACAATTTTGCGGCAATATATCATTAGGATGAATGATATTTACATAATTACATCCACGAAACTGTAATGAAAATGACAGGACAGCAGTTATGAGAAAATACGTTGCTTGTGCGGTTATTCAAGACGCATTATGTATTATCTTCTTCACCTTAACTTCTGAAGTATCATTAACTCAAATTTATTTTATGTGGAAATATGTATCGGTTAGCAATTATAGATTATGGATGTAGAACGATGTTGCTAGAGGTATAGTACTACGGTACTTCTCGTTCTGATACAGTTAAAGAAAATCCTTTTAGAGGTTTATATACTAAATGACATGGAAAATGCAACACCGACTAGGAGTGCTGTAATTTTGAGCATACTTTTACAAGTTTTAGCTCTACCGATAAATAGGAAGTGATGGAAGAACTCTGAAAGTTGAGTGATGATAATGCAATGAAACAATGAAACAAAGGGAACCAGCACACAAACGTCACTCAATATCAAGTAAAACATATTCAAATTGCTCGGATCCTGGTAGACAAAAAAGCTTTAACAAAAAAGGTATGGCTCTGAATGCCTTCAACATTCCAGCCTTTGAATATCGACCTGTAAATATTCAGCCTCGGGATGTTCGGGCTTCAAATATTCTGCCCCTCAGCATCTTCTCGGAAATTGCGTTAATCAATGCTGCTACCCAAAATTTTCCAAGTTTTCAACGGATCCTCGGCTTTTGATCAAATTTCCATATCACGTTACTACAATATGAAGAAGGAAAAAGCTTTGTAGTTTCTGAAATGATAGAGAAATGATTCCGAAACGCATGCTATACGCCGGTACGTTCAGATATGAAAAGGGGCAACGTTGCCAGAATGACCAATACTTTCGGTAGAGTAGGGAAATGATATTTGTGGACTAATTGTATGGATCTGTTTGACAGACTTGATCCGTTTTATTTCTCATGTTCGTAATTAACCTTTTCTCAGATGGCTCAACTAATGCGGAAACTAATCCTTTATAAACTGATGACAGCATTGCGTGGACGTGCTGAGTCAACCTACTTGACGCCACAGTGCTATGGTGAGCGACGCCACACCCGAGGCTCGAGCCATCCATAGCTGTCATTATTCTTCTGTCGCTATTACGAGTACTTCAAGCCCTCATGGTCAGCTTTGTGTTCATATAACTAATACCATCATTTCCTTATAATGGATTATTCGATTTGATAGATAGCCACTGTATGCCCCTGTATGTATACAATACGCATTCGGTAGTAAGTGATATACTGGCAGCACTATTGATTTGACGTTTAACGTCTAAATAAATAAATCAACGGGTAAGGCGCAGTGATGCACACCTTTCCGTACCAGACTGATTTATCTGTCATATTTCCTGGAATGTATCGGACGTATTGTGATAGGATTCTTAAGTATTATCTCCGTTTTACATCACGAATTTCGGCAAGATCATCCTGATCGTTTTGGACAAATTCATGGATAATCTGACACTACACAGAGCAAGGACTTGAGTCTGACCATAAGACTGGATGAGTTTACTCCATAATTGCGTAACGTAAGCTAGGAGGTCCCCTGTGGATCGTTGGTGTCGGAAACCATACTTTCTGTCGCTAATCAAGCGGTGACGTTCGAGGTAGTCCAGAAGCTCGCGATTTATGGACCGCATCAGGAATTTCTGCCTCTTCTCTATTCAGTAGAAATGTTTACGTCGGAAACAAGTATTTGTAACTATCATCAGCTCTTACTCTATAGGAATGTTCTTATAAATTACACTGTAACTGTTTCCGGAACTAACGGCGCTCCAACAAAGTTATAGAAACAAAAGAATCGAGTTGTAGAATCGACTCCAGTGAAGTGTCTCAGGTAATAAAATTACCCTTTAGAATCTGAGTGAATTCAAAAAGTACATTCCTTGAGAAAGTTTCAGATTGAAAGTGATTTTTTTGTTCTTTGTGCTGGAAAGATTTAGTGCATGCTGCAGTGGAGAATACCTTATTTTCCACGGTGGAATGGACTTCAAATCATCCCCTTAATCTTCTTGCAAATCACTCAATAAATCTGTATTTCTTGACCGAGAAAAATACTTTTCTCTAAATTCTGTTAGACACTTTGGAAGTTCCTATTTCTAGATACCCAGAACAAGCCACAAAGGGCCGTTGCGGCTGGAAATGGAATTTTCAATTTATACAGGGTGATTACCAAAGAGTAGCGTTTTTTTATACCGAAGCAGCCGCGCAGGCAAAAGCGTGAAACCAGGTCACCGAAGCTACTATGAGGAGCCAAAGGCGTGGTCGTATCGGCCAGTTCTGACTGTACGAAGTTCGACTATCAGTCTCATCGCGCCGCGGTATAATGGAAGAGTGCTCTGAGGAGCAAAGCCCGTTGACATAGCGGTAGAAAAGAGATAGACTGCTGGCCGCCTTTCGGTACGAAAGCGTTCCGTGACTGTAGGTCTTATTGGGCCTTGTACAGAGTGAGGATGTTGTATGGAGAAAAATACCTCTTTACCCTAAGCAAGTGGCAAATGGAGGAAAAACTCGAGGTGGAGATTTTTCACAAAAGAAGCAAAAAACGCGTGCATTGAGTAATATGGAAAAAATAGTTATTCTGACCTTGAGTTAAAACGTTTCTCCGGAGTTCAAAATCCAGTCGCAGAAGGTTATCGAACTGGATCAATATTTTAATAAACCTGTTTTACCAAGAACATAGCAGTGGTGCAGGAAACAGCAAAAATCTATCCTAGATTGTTTGAGATGTTTAAAATCGTTTGTGTGCTGGAGAAGAAGAAATATATTAGAAATTGATACAGTCCAAGAAATAATGATTTGAACGGAAATTTGTAGCTAATTTACATTTTTATTTCAGTATTGCTTTAGTTTCTTCATTAGTCTCAATGTGTGATACGTAGGATAAAAGACAGCTAATTTTTAATTTCTTTCAGCCTTCGTAAATTAGAGCAAGCAACAGTTATCTTTAAAATAACTTCTTTGTCCTGTTCGATATCCACGCAGGCAACCAATTATACAATCTTCTGCTTACATGGTTGCCTACGGTGATGTCATGTCTCATCTCTCGTTCACGTTCGTCTACTCACAACTACGAGGGAGGTTCGATAAGTACCTGTGTTAGAAATGAAGACACCAGTCAAAAGTCGCATGGGGCCAGATCGGATGAATACGGGAGGTGCGGCAGCACCTCATAACGCAGTTCATGCAGTTTGGCGGCGACAACTCCGGATGAATGTGGTGAAACATCACCTTCTTTTTCGTCAAATGTGACCGTGTCTGATTCAATTTTTTGTCGAAGCGGTTCAATAACTCACTACAGTATTGTCCAGTGATCGTTCTTCCTTTTTCTAAAAAATACATGAGGATGACGCGGTTTGCATCCCAAAAAATCGTCGCCATGACCTTTCTAGCCGATGGGACCGTCTTCGCCTTCTTTGGAGCAGATTAACCTGAAGAAATCCATTGTTTTGATTGTTGCTTAGTTTCTGGTATGTAATGATGAATCCAGGTTTCATCGATGGTAACAACTCGACGCAAAAACTCCTTCAGATTTCGCTTAAATTGCTCCAAACAGTGCTTCGAAGTTAGCAGCCGTTTTCGCTTGTGAGCAATCGCGGCACCCATTGATTGCCGTTCCGGTCGGCACACCTACGGCCTCTGCTACTTCGCGCACTTTCGTTTGTCGATCATCGAAACATGTCGTAGACTTTTTGAATGATTTCCTCGGTAACCACGTCTGCCGGGCGTTCTGGTCGATCCTTTTTTATACTCCAACTACCACGAAGGCCTAAACACCCATTGGGTACCGTGGGGCTATAGGGAGATACAGGGGAAAGGGGGAACGCCACACGGACTCTGGCGAGGGAACACGTGTGCATGCAACATGCACACATTCTGGCTCCGCCTACGAGATCCGCCGGGTGGTACCTCCGCCTTCGACAGTCAGAGACCGTCTACCACCTACGGACAAACCATAGCTAAGAGAAAAATTTCTCCTGAGACGGGATTCGAACCCGCACAGCGCACGGCGACTGATCAGGGGACCGAAGAGTCTACTACTGCGGCCACCGGTGCTGCCTAGATGATAACATTAAGAACGCCCTCTGTCGTCAAACACGGGTACTTATTGAAGCGCCCTCGTAGTTCGCTTGGACAATCGGGATCATGTGATACCAGTCGTTCGTGTTGAACTAGTGATCGAGTTTTTCGAGGAATGATGAACTAGTTCGCTTAGATCAGTCGTAAGAACTAGTTCGTTCGCAAAGAGGTACGTCCGAGTTTTTTTTAATTTCCTGATAGGAACCCAAAAGATGAAACCGTGGTATAAAACTATATTTTAATGATGGCAATAACTATTAATAAGGAGTGAATATGTGTATATAAATGTCCTGGAGGTTTTATAATACCCCCCATGGACAAATCGCTTAAAATAATTGCTTTCACATTTAATGATGCCATTTTATTGAGCTATGAAAGATGATATGAAAAAGAGACAGTAATTTTACAAATTGAATTGTCCACCGACAGTTTGACGTAAATCACACGACAGACACGCTCCACAGAAGTGGCGCCAGCTAATCGCATACGTTTATCGATTTCAAAACAACGTGTGGGTAGAAACCAAGTAAAAATTACTATTTCATAAGGTCGAATTATTATGTAATACGCATCATTGTATTTATACGGTCTTATATCATTTTCTCAATAACACTGGCATTTTTCAGTGACATTAAGTGGTCATAGTGTGCGTAGACATGGAATTTGTTAGGCGGGTATTTTGGTACTTTTACAAGGTACATGACAACATATGGATGTGATAGAACTCCATCTTTGCGCCTTGCTGAAGGAGAGAAAATACTATTAAAATCAAGGAAGCTATGAACGTGTCGTACAATAATTGTATAAACGATAAGGTTATGTTAAGATATTTCACACAGGGTGTGAGATAATTTTGAATTATTTATTGCGATTATGATTACACATTCGATATTAATTTATCGTTTCATTAAAATGATGAAAAGAAGAAGATCCATTGCCAAAGTACTTATTTCATTACTCTGAATATCGCACGTCTTTCTCCGAAACCAATCGCCTTCACACAAGTGCAAAACGAATGACTTGTACTTTACGAGGGATGTATTTTAAGTTTTGCATATAGAAACATAGTAGGCCACGCGGATCGAACGTCAGTACTAAATCTTAACCTCACTCTTTAGTAAACCTAAATTCAAAGTTTCACAACGATACGTGCAGTGTTCTCACTACAGTGTCACCAAGTCATTAGAAAAATGGAACTCAACCGAAAACATTTTCGCGCCATAATTTATTACAACTTTCAGAGACAATTATCGCAACAAGAATGCCTTGCTGAGTTACTGTCTGTTTTCGGCAACGAAGCGCCACATCAGTGGACAATTTCCCGTTGGTATGGAGAATCCAACGTGACATATCGCGAGATTGAGGCGTGGACTACGCCTACGAGGTCAGTCTTACAATTAGTCATAAAGTCCTTGGTTGTCGATATTTATTTTCGCTGGAATGCTTCTGTCATCCTATGGACTCACACGACTCTACTGCTGCTGTGGCACATTCCAAATTATACGCGCACAGAAGAGAAATTAATATGAAATATATGAGTTGGCCCAAATTAGTCAAATGCTCGGTGAAATCAAAACATTTTTAGTCTTTATCATCAAAAATTGAGCGGAATTTCATTCTCACGGTTTTGTAAACGGGAATATGCCAGCTCAAACAATAATCGTAAAATTGTCTCTTTTGATGCTGTGCCGGTATAGTACAAGTTTATTAGGCAATACTGAGAAGAAAATGCTGCAGTATGAGATTACAAAGTGCTTTTCTTCGATAACCCTTGTCTATTTATTTATTTTCTGAACGACGTCATATGAAAAAATGGCGTTAAGTAGGTTGGCTCTGCACTTAATACGCAACGCAATACAAGGTCGAGGCATTTTTAGTTTTAAAGCCCTGGGTTATAAAATCCCTATACTATTGTTCGCATGTGATTGCCCGCAATGAATCACGAGCAATTTGTAAAGAAAAGAGTATCGTGAATCATAACGAGTTTATAGTTTTGTGGAGAGGATCCATTAGTGGAATGGACGACACATAAACATAAACCTAGCTTGAACTGATATAAAATGATAGTAATTATATTACTTATCGCTAATTAAGTTCTTGACTCAAAACGTGATGTTCATAAGCTATCTTACATCTTAAGTAGCAGAGGCGTAACTAGAGCATATTCCGAATAATAATGCAAATGGATCATTCTTATATCCAGCAAAAAAAAATAATAGAATTTGTGTAGGATACGAACCAGACGATAATATTAGAAATATAACGATAAACGTGAAAACCACAAACCCATCGATGTACCACCCTGTACCATTTCATTTTTTACTACAAGGACAGTACGTGAACAATTCGATATGGGCAACAATGTCAGGATAATATTAAAGCCACTTACTTGGTGAAGGAACGGCAACGAGTTATCCTCCTTTGGCAAGCGATAAGGGGCCAATATCTATTTATAGAAAAATGACTGGAGTACCTACTATATTCAACCGACTCATAACATGCACTATCTTAGTATTACATTAATTATCCGTAGTGGTACCAATTCATCATTATTTACTTTTGTTTTATCATATACTGGTCCGCAGACCCTAAGAACGGGGGCACTCCCCCCCCTGGGACACACAGTCCTCCACTTAGGCAATTTTAAGCACACAGCAGCCTATGTGATTAACATAGTTTGAAGCACACCCTATGTGATATCCAGGCGTATAGACAGATATGCTGAGTTTAACGATTGTTACTAAAAGGTAGTCCAGGAACCGGGATATCACGTTAGCCAACGGCCGTTGTGTCAATACCCTAAATCTCCGACGTTACCCCTGAATCAGAGATCACCGAGCAAGATGACAATTTAAAGTAACAATCCCTTCACACATCCTGCCATGGGATATATTCAGATGCCAGCGATTACGGAGAGAAGATGGTTAAGCGGTCATTCACCAGACCTAGGACGCCACTTCGGCCAAAGGCCACCGCGTCAACATCCCAAGCGCTCCGAGGTTTCCCCTGATAGAGGAAACCGAGCAGTCATTAACATAACCACCTAAACCCAGCAATCGGGTACTGAAAGTCCCATAACAACCCCCGGAGACTGGAGTCGTCACCCCTATATGACCCATCTAACTTCCCTTGATCACCTTTCAGGTAACCAAAACACTACACCCAGTAGCACATCAACACTGTAATCAAGTCCACAAAGCGCACTACTTGGTCTGAGAAGCGATCACCTCCACGCAATAATTGAACTGCATCGCCAGTCTCGCCCGTATCTTTAAGAAAGTTTATCCTGGAAACAAGTACCCAGAGAAGGAATGGAATGTATAATATAAACAGGCGTAAGGGCCGTAGCGCTGAGAGACACTAAGCAGCCTTGTGAACCTTCTGGAAAGGTTTTGTGTGCTACAGGGTTGGACTCGCATGCATAAATGTGTTTGAGATAGTTCGTAAGCTTACATTGGGTTGAGTATCTCTGAAGCAAAAATACAGATATTTTCTGAAACAACACGTGAACCATACGTTTTCTAATCAGTGACAGACAAGCCAGTGGTTTGGAGAGTAAAGAAAGGCTATTAAAATGCAAATTGTTCACCGCCGAGTCGACAGTTTTGGACTATCTTTCAACAAATCATTAATTTTTTACATTGTTTTCAATAGTTGGATTTTCCTGAAATTTTAATTTAAACATTTACTGTTGCCAAAATTGTAGTAAAACATTACCAGTTTTCTGGCCTATACTTATTGTGATCTATATGAATGCAAAAGCTTGGCGACATATTCTGGAACATCCTGTAGGTGGTGATCTCAATTATCTATGTTGCATCGTGTGAAGAGGAAAATGTCCGTTGCAAAGTTGAAGATCACCTTATAAAGTTTCATAGCACGCTCACCAAATTGGTCCAGAATTCCTTTCTATGCGTCGATAAACCCTGAGCGTACAGGTAATAACAAAGTAATATACGGCTAAGTTTCAAGTAACTTATCATTATTTCAGCATGGATAAAGATAATGACAACAGAACCGAGCTTTATTAGAACCATTATTTCTTGTTTCATCCTCTGATGTAGATGTTTACAAATTATTAACGGAATTTTCTCCCAGCTAGTTTTGACAGTGTATGTGGTGGTTTCTGGGAGCCGACATGAGCTCAGCTTTTGTATAATAATGAGTATTTTGAATCAGAAAAAAGTACTATTTTCCTTGAAAATACCCTTTGTAAAAAATACAACTTTATTCGAAAGCACTTTTCTGATACAACAAAAGTTAGTCGCTATAACTTTTATACACAACTGTCTGTTCTGGAAATTTAGTCAATTTATAGTTGGATTATACGATTTAGTTCAAAACTTATTACGAATAACCGTACTCGGTATTACGAAAATCGTCAAAAGTCTTAAAAACATCCTGTATGTTTTTGTCTTAAGTGATGTGATTGGACGTGTCTTGACAGGAAAAAGCAGCTGCATAAAAAATACCATTTTCTCTTCAACGATGCTGGTTTTTCAAAACTACTCCTTCCGATTACATAGCAATTACCACACTGCGTATTTGTAAACACACGTACTTCATAATTATCGATTATTACAGAAACGCTCGCCACTGGTTTTCGTTTATTTTTCTCAACACTGCTTGAGTGGCTTTCCAATAGTCCATGCGAATTAGTAAAACACCAGGTTCACGAAGCGGTTCGCAATGCCAAAAACCAGCATGATATAAAAGTTAGGCACAGGGTAATGTCGCAGCGCAATGGCAATTGGTCTTTCTGGACGCTTGAAAAGAACTTCTCACACAGCAGCCTTCCACCACTTA